AGCAGTGTAAGACTAGAGGGAAGACAGCTAGTCATCACCACCCACCGCTAACTCTTGGGATACTCTTTTACCAACCACATTATAACCACATTATAGGATTGACCGTCACATTATAACGCCCCCACGGCTGAAAGGGCGAGCATGTTTGGTGGGACTGGGATTCGATCCCGCGACCCTCAGATTGCGAGACGAGCGCCCTAACCACCTGGCCATGCCGGGCCTAAAACTGAGGAACACTTTATTGTAAAATCATGTCATTTATATACTGTAGAATAACCCATAAGACTTATCTTGCTAATTAGTTGGATTGGTTTCTTTGTTTACGACAAAGTAATTAAGGTTATCTGCTGCTGTCTCTAATTTTGAACTGCCGATTAGAAGGAAAGCAGATTGCTGGCACCACCAACCGCTAACTCGTGGGCTGCTCTTTATCAATGATTAGTAGAATTGACCGTAATGTTATAATGCTCCCAAGGCTGAAAGGGTTGGTATGTTCGGCAACGAATTTCGGTTGCGTGATCCGCAGATTGCGAGTCGAGCGCCCTAACCACCAGACCTTGCAAGTTGCAAGACAATTTACATATTCAACTTTTTTTAATACCTTTATCCGGAAGCTTTCAGCATCATCGTAGCCACACCATTGCCTGTCTTTATACATGTATGGTACCTTATGATGATGATCTCGAACAATGGTCCATTGATTACTTTCGATCATCTGTTTCTCACAAATCTGGAATAAAATATTAAGCTACATTATGAATATTTGTAAATACAAACTTTTCTTATTGGTAACTTACACCAAATTATTTCTTACAACTTCTGACATCACGACGCTGGCTCAACACTTTATAAAATGTATACATTCATCATCCTAATGATTTATTTTTCACTAGATTTTAAGTATTACCTTCCTTACTCCATATAAATATTTAAGCCTTTTATTACAGAAATTTCACATTCAGATTTAAGAAAACTGGAGGAAAGAACAAAATAGGGTTACCCTTGTAACCAAAAAAGTTGATCTACAAATTCAACAGACCATCTATCTCCTTTTCTTACAAATTTCTTCAAAACAAAGATGTATACTACTTAAAAAGCCTCCCAGTGGCATAGCGGTATGTCTGCGGACTTACAACGCTAGAATCCGGGTTTCGATACCCATGGTGGGCAGAGCACAGATAGCCCATTGTGTAGCTTTGTGCTTAATTACAAACAAACAAACAAACTACTTAAAAAAAGAGAGATATCAACAAACTTCGATACATATTCACACACAAGGCCCGGCATGGCCAGTTGGTTGGGGCACTCGACTCGCAATCTGCGGGTCGCGGGTTCGAATCCCCGTCACACCAAACATGCTCGCCCGTTCAGCTGTGGGGGCGTTATAATATGACGGTCAATCCCACTATTCGTTGGTAAAAGAGTAGCCCAAGAGTTGGCGGTGGGTGATGATGACTAGCTGCCTTCCCTCTAGTCTTACACTGCTAAATTAGGGACGGCTAGCGCAGATAGTCCTCGTGTAGCTTTGCGCGAAATTCAAAAACAAACATATTCACACACACATGCATATAAATCCTCCCTCTTTCTTCAACGTATATAAAAGTAAATATATGTATCATTTTTGGATCGTCAATGGTGAAACGAACATTCTAAATACATATATTAATCAGGTGAGTCACCTTATGGTATAATCCGCGATTTTATTTATTTGAATTCTCAACAATGCATG